ATTTTGTTTTTATATTAAATAGTAATATATTTATTAAGAGTAAATCATATTAAAATTATTTGATAAATAATATTTTTCATTATATTATATTATATTAATTTCAGTTCTTTATTTATTTAATTTATTTAATTTATTATTTCATAATAAGATATTTGATTTATTATTTATTTTACTTTATAATTTTTATATTTTATTTTCTTATATAATTATTATTTTTATTTTTCTTTAATTAGTTTATTTTAATTTTATTTATTTATTAATTTTATTTTTTTATTTATTTTTCTCATTTAAAATTTATTTAATTATAACTTTATTTAATTTTAGTTCACGCTAATACATTAAATTTTATCTTACTTTATTTTAATTTAATTTTTTTCATTATTTTAAGTTAATATAATGTATCGAAAGTTATTAGTATTGTTATTATTAATTATTTAATTTATAGTAAATTAACATATTATCCTTTTATTTTATTTATTTACTTATTTTTAAGTTATTTAATTCATTTCAGTATGATGTATAGATATATTTATGTTCAAAAAATTACAAATCCATTCATATGGCCTAGTGGTTGAGCGGCCATTTCCTTCCTTTCCAACCCAAGTTTGAATCTTGTTGCCCACATTTCATACCATTTAGGTTTTGCACATAATTCAAGGGCAAAACAGTAATTTTCGCCACTTTAGGGTGAAAAAATGAAGAAAAAGCTGCACAGCACGCGCGTGCACGCCACTTCTGTCATCTTAGACGGTTTATGGTGTTTCGCGCATGCAAAAACCTTAATAGAAGGGGGTCTGACGCAATTTTTAAAATACAGGAGGGAAACGCGCAAATTTAGTATAATACAGGAGGATTTGGTGCATTAAACCAAAATAATAATATTAATATATTATAAAAAAATATGATAACAAAATAATATGATTAGTATTTAAAAATAAAACAAAATAAACTGAAAAATTGTCGTTGAGCCCACCTAGGCGAAGTGAGAAAAAATAAAGTTTTGGCTTCCGAGGATGCACGCGGTCAAGGGCCGGAACGACCCGAGAAGGCTGGGCAAAGGACCAAAACAGGCCGCGTAAAGCCTGGAAACCCGTCTAGACCGCACAAGCACGCATGAAAGTGCGATAAGTCGAAAGTATGTGTTTCTATTATAGTAAAATTTGGACTATATATTGGATATTTATGCTTAAGTGACGTATTTTCTACTTTATCATGTGTCTTTGATATTTTGGTGCAGTTAGACCGTATAAGCTCGACTTGGTGCACATATAACGAACATGGCGGTGTTGGATTTTGTTGAACATGGCCATGTCAGTATGGACCGTTCATGGTTTATTATTTTTGGACGTGGGCCTGTTGACACCAAGCCTAATATCAATATTAAGAGATAAAATAACGATAATATATATATATATATATATATATATATATATATATATATATTAAGGGATCAAAGGCCAGCCGTAAATATTGAAAAGGAGGCAGATCAATTTTTTTGAATTACCTAGAGAGTACCTAATAGTCGTAAGGAGCAGGATCTTCATGAACCGCACCTTCAAGTTCTCACTTATTTTTCTCTAGATTTTGGGATATGCTTTGGATAGACTTCATGGAGGCCCTGCACGGCTAATTCTCTTTGCTTTATGAATTAACCTAGAGAGTACCTAATTAGTTGAATACGATTGAAATCCTGAACTTAATACTGTGAGATCTAATTAGTTTTATCTATTAATTCATGGTTCCTATTAGTTATTTTTTGCGTTTATGTTAATGATTTTGTGTTAGGATTGTAACTTGATCAACTATTGTCTTGTGCACTTAATCTATTTCTTGGTAGATATTGAGTCGGATATAGATAATTTATCTATCGTAAGAAGCAATTGTGTGTGGTAATTGAACAGATTTAGGCGTTATCATTCTTAGGCAAAATAATTATACCAGTTAATATTTAGCGGATATATTTATTTGTTGCTTGTGTTGTCGGTCTCTAGTTCTAAGTGCTACTGCTAGGATAATTTTACACGATGTTGGGAATTGTCTAGTAATAAGGGTTGTGTAGAAGGATTTATTTCGCATAACCAATTCAGAAGATAGAATTCATCATTCAACATCAACTACGTATTTATGAATTAATAATATTTGTATCAAAGATCAGTAGAATAATTCGGGTGTGAAAATCAAATCACCACCACCTCCACCGCATATATATAAGTCACCACCACCACCATCACCTTCTCCTCCCCCACCTTACATTTATAAATCGCCACCTCCGCCTTTGCCATCTCCACCACCTCCATATATTTACAAATCTCCTCCTCCACCACCACCTTCACCACCACCTCCATACGTCTATAAGTCTCCACCTCCTTCACTAAAATTTCCGCCTCCACCTTATATTTATAAGTCACCACCTCCACCGTCACCATCCCCACCACCACCATATATCTACAAGTCTCCGCCTCCTCCAGTTAAATCTCCTCCTCCACCTTATATTAATAAGTCACCACCACCACCATCACCATCCCCACCACCACCATATATCTACAAGTCTCCGCCGCCTCCAACTAAATCTCCTCCTCCACCTTATGTTTATAAGTCACCACCTCCACCATCGTCATCTCCACCACCACCATATGTTTACAAGTCCCCTCCACCACCATCTCCATCACCACCACCTCCTTATATCTACAAATCTCCACCACCTCCAGCCAAATCTCCTCCTCCACCTTATATTTATAAGTCACCACCTCCACCGTCACCATCCCCACCACCACCATATATCTACAAGTCTCCGCCGCCTCCAGCTAAATCTCCCCCTCCACCTTATATGTATAAGTCACCACCTCCACCGTCACCATCCCCACCACCACCATATATCTACAAGTCTCCACCGCCTCCAGCTAAATCTCCTCCTCCACCTTATGTTTATAAGTCACCACCTCCACCTTCGCCATCTCCACCACCACCTTATGTTTACAGAACCCTAAGAGGAGTGGAATAGTTTCTTTCCAACCACAAGTATTGTTATAACTCGTCTTGAACTATGATTTTGATGAGCGCGCTGTTGATGATTCATTTATAAATTTGTTGGTAGAGGTTGGTTTCCATAGGTAATTTTCATTGGTACTTATTGTTTTTGGGTAAGCGTTAAAGTTGTTCTATACATATCGATTGTCTCAATGTGTTACATATTCTCGTTGTTCTTATTCTTATGTCTTCAAAATTTGAAGATATTTTGTATAATATAAACATTTTAAATAATTTTTATATCCATATTCTTTTTAAATTTCTTCTCACCATATTATACTACGTATTAAATTCATCTACCTAGACTTTGGTAAAATTTTAAGCACACAAGTACTCTCAAGAGTAATTTTAGGTACTAACTAAATGTAAGAAATCAGCTACTCTCCATAGAGTTTACAATGTCATGTACTATTTGAAAAAATTAGATACTTTTGTAATTCTATCTATGGATATGCATCGAGATACATTTTTCAAATTGGAGGGGACCAATTATTTTGACCTTATTCATTCACTAGGTGTAGACTGTATGTATTGTTTCCCGGGACTTGATTTTAGAATTGAGAGTTCATCTCTAAAAAACTTCTTTATTTGCTATTTTGTTATTTTTATTTACTTAGTTATTTTATAGAAGAAAAATATAGATTATTAATACTTATCATCATGGTTTCATGGTTGTCATTATATAATCACCGTATAATGATTCATGAGAGTTGACAATAATGTCTCAAGTTCAAACCATGACGTTTGACAAATGATTGGTAGCTCTGCTAAATTCAATATTCCCTAACTAGTTGTATATCAATAAAATAGAATATTGCAATTAGTTTGTCAATGCAATCAACTGAATAGTCCCTCTAGCTAGGTCATTTTCCATTATTATAATTCAATGTTTTAATTTTTAAATACCGTACCGGTAATTATACTAGACGAGCCACCAGTACGCGGTTCAACCAGTTCAACCTGTTTTAACGTCTATTTTACCCGTTTTAATAAATATTAAATTAATCTATTATTATAATATAAATAGTATATAAAACTAACTATAATAAATACTAAAATTATCTAAAATCAAATAACAATGTAAATATATTAAAATTAAGTGTAGAACTTTCCACTTATATAAATAAATTAATAAAAATATGTTATAAGAATATATTTAAAAAAAATCCAGTATACCCAATATTTTAGTCGGTATTTTGGCCGGTATTATTCGGTAAAATCGGTATTTTTTGATATAAACCGGTATTTTGACCAAAACGGTATTTAGATGGTGACCAGTTGGACCATTGGTATCCGGTATTATCGATAATACATGGTGGTGTATATACCGATATTTAAAACACTGTTATAATTCTATTGATATTTCTTATAAAAAAAAATGTTTCCGTTTACCAATTACCATTTTTTGGTACGAGTTAAGTTATATAATAATTGACGTCCACCTTACAGTATGAATGAATAGATCTATAAATAAAGATGAAGTTTTAACAATGACGCATCGTACGTGAATAAATGATATACTGTATGTTTGTAATTTATAATGACACCAATATCTATATATAGTTGTTGACAAAAAGAAATATGATACTCTCTCCTATTTTTATTATTTGTCACTCTGGCTTAATTGATCATTGATTAAATAAATGTTGTTTTGGCTATTTTGTTCATATTTTTTTATTTTTACCCTCCATCTAATACACAATGTCTCTTCATATTCCATCTCTATCATTCTCATAACATCCATTAAATAGGGTTAATATTAGCAAGGAATTTGTTTTTAATTAGCGTGTTGCTTCTCAAAACGACAAATATTAAAAATATGAGTGAATAATTATTTTCGTTTTGTCTCTCTTTTTCGTTACACTTTGTATTAATTAAGTAATTATATTTTTATTTTATTTTATTAATGAATAACTACTGCTAATTAATTATAAAGTCACATTAAATGATATTTTATTCTAATATTTCTTTCAAACTAATTATGTAAAATTATTATTTCTTTTCTTTAAATTCATTAAGAAAGTTTATTTTTATTACAATTAGGTAACTAGTATAATACTCATGTAATATATGGGTGTTTGTTAAAACATTTATACTTCAAATAAAAAAATAATGGAAAAAAAAAATTTCTTTTGAATTTCAAATATGTTTTTGAAAAACTATATGTTTACCTCACATCATATAACTACTTTGTAGTTAAAAATTTAAATAACTTATTTTTTCTAAATAATATTGGATAATTTTTTATTATAAAGAGAAATATAATTATTTAATTTATTTTTTGATATATTATATTGATGTGAAATCGGAGCTCATCAAAGAGATGAGATAACTTAGTATATTATATATAATTATATATAATATGAAATAATATAAATTTATCATATAAAAATTTTCATATTAAATATGAAAATTATTAATTTCAAAATATATTTATAATTTAAGTGAGTAATTTTTTCTATAATTTTAAAAGAGAGATTGAGAACAGGATGATGATTGGGGAAAAAAATTATGCCTTATAAACAACTTCTAGAATAAAAAATGATATTATAACATAATTAATGTTCCTAAAATGGATCATAAATATGCAATATATTTATAGTTATTACAGATCTAGTTGTTTTTGGATTGGAAGTAAATTAACAAAGCATGAAAATTTGCCATATAGGATCCCGAAATGTGTGAACCTGCCACTTAGGCTCAGTACATTTAAAAATTATATATAGTTAGTTAATTATTTTTATGGCATAACCAAATACCTTAAAATTATGTACACAATTGTTATAATAATAATTTCATTATTATTTATCTAGTTAATTGGTCATAATCATTCAGAATTGCATAAGTTACATTATAACAATCAATATAAAAAATATATTTACATCGTTTATTTTTACTAATGATAAAATTTATAAAATATCATATGCTCATTATTTATATTATGATTTTAAAATATTATACGCATATAACATATAAAATTCTATTTATATTTGTGCATATACACATGATCGAATAAACTACTTGCATCTGTGCATGTAAACAAAAAAGAATAGTAAATTAGTGTATAGCTATCATTTATTTTAATATTCTCAATCCATAAACATATATATGTCTTGTTTTTCGTCAAATATTTATGGAAAAATTTAGTGCTCAAAATACGTTGTTTACCATGTGTCTCCTCTCTCATCCGTTACTATCAAATGTTATCGGCCCTATCGGAAAAAACTAAAAACTTACAATTCATATGTCTTACTATTTATCAAATATTCTAAATTTTATAATTAGATATTAATTTTCTAATAATCATTTTCTCTTACCAAATTTAAATTATTTTCTTACTTACAATTAATTTTATCTATTTATATGATAAAAAATTGTGTATACCACCATATAATTAGAAGATTTTGGGATTACATCTCAACTCTATTATAATTAATGTTGGTTTCTAAAAGTTTTGCAAAAGGGTGCCCTCATTTGGGATTTTAAAGTTTTTTTTTTAAAAAAAAAAATTGAAATTCTGGTGTATTTAATTCAAATTTTTTTGGCATTCATTTGACATTTTAAAAAAATTTACAAAATCTTGAGATATTTAACTTATTTGAAACTAGGATTTGTTAGAATTTTTAAAGATTTTTTGTAATTTCAAAAGAAAAAATCTTATACGAATTTTATTCTACATCCCACCTTCAGATTAAACATTTTATAGGATTTCTTTGAATTTTGAAAATCTTAAAATGTTTGAAATATTAAAAAGGTCTCAAAATGTCACTCAAAATCCTAAACAAATACACCACCTTAATCACGTACGATATTTCCTATTCGATGTCAGTCAACTAAATTTTCCGAAGATAAAATTCACCGGGAATATTGAAGAAAAACTTGAAATTTTACCTCCCAAGTAACGTGATAAAAACTTGAAAGTAGCAAATTACTTGAGAAATTTTTATTTTTTTATTTTTTTACCCGTGAAATGACGATCACGTTGATATTTGAGGGTTGTTGGACAGATATTTCGCAGAGGCAACCTCAATTCCTATCCACAAACAATTATTGGAACATATAAAACACCAATTAAATTTCAAATTAACGCGTTTACAAAGGATAAACAAAATTAGGAAGTACTGAGTGCGAAGATATTACATTATTAATAGCAACTCTTATTCCTCAACTTGTTCATGTTTGGTTGTTTATTGCCAAGAAAAGAATGTAGTGGGCTAGCAATACCAATCGTATATACAGTTGACATTGACATACGGTTTAAGCTTTTGCCAGACTGTTTTATTCTCATTAAACAAATCAAGAATGAACTGCATCTCACCACTATATAAACCATACATACTTTTTCCTAAACCACACAAAACACAAAACTTGAAAACCTTTAGTAGAAAAACTTGGGAGCGGCCACAAAATGGGGATGCCAGCAATGATGCGCCGCTGGCGCCACTTTGCATTATCGCTTGCGTTTTGTTTGATAGCCACTGGTGCAGTTGCCGATAAACCATACTTTCATGACAAACCCGTCGACAAAGTTTCTCAAGAACTACCAAAATTTTGGCACGAGGGAATAAATTATCACGGTGATAAACCGCTACCATCTTATTCGTATGTCTACAAATCGCCTCCCCCACCTACACCATCACCACCACCTCCATACATTTACAAATCACCGCCACCACCTTCACTGTCACCACCTCCTCCGTATATATATAAGTCACCACCACCACCATCACCTTCTCCTCCCCCACCTTACATTTATAAATCGCCACCTCCGCCTTCGTCATCTCCACCACCTCCATATATTTACAAATCTCCTCCTCCACCACCACCTTCACCACCACCTCCATACGTCTATAAGTCTCCACCTCCTCCACTAAAATATCCGCCTCCACCTTATATTTATAAGTCACCACCTCCACCGTCACCATCTCCACCACCACCATATATCTACAAGTCTCCGCCTCCTCCAGTTAAATCTCCTCCTCCACCTTATATTAATAAGTCACCACCACCACCATCACCATCCCCACCACCACCATATATCTACAAGTCTCCGCCGCCTCCAACTAAATCTCCTCCTCCACCTTATGTTTATAAGTCACCACCTCCACCATCGTCATCTCCACCACCACCATATGTTTACAAGTCCCCTCCACCACCATCTCCATCACCACCACCTCCTTATATCTACAAATCTCCACCACCTCCAGCCAAATCTCCTCCTCCACCTTATATTTATAAGTCACCACCTCCACCGTCACCATCCCCACCACCACCATATATCTACAAGTCTCCACCACCACCACTAAGATCTCCTCCCCCTCCATATGTTTATAAATCACCACCCCCACCTTCACCATTCCCACCACCTCCGTACATTTACAAGTCTCCACCCCCACCATCGCCATCACCACCGCCTCCATATATTTACAAATCTCCACCACCTCCATCAAAATCTCCTCCTCCTCCTCCTTATATTTATAAGTCACCACCTCCTCCTTCACCATCACCGCCACCTCCGTATATTTACAAGTCCCCACCACCTCCAGTGAAATCACCGCCATATTGACATTACTAAAGTTGTCATCGTGAGCTCCTCCACTCCATTGCATCGTCCCGTGATTAATTAATAAACCACAATTGCGTCTTTTATTAAGTTTATACATTGTGTTGATATGAGTATTATTCAAATGTTTAATTGATTATCCTATTTATTATGTTGCAACACTTTCGTGTTTCACTACTAGGGATACAAATGTTATCCCTATTCATGCTTGAGCATTTTATTGTACTATTTTCGTTTAAGTTTCTTAATTTGAACGAGCAATAATATTGTACTGTTCTAATGATTTAGTGTCTTATATGAAAACAAATGTTAAGGCAATTTGTTTGTTCCAACTACACACTTGAAAACTACTACGTCATTTTTATTTGTTTTTTTTTTTTTTTTTTTTTTTT